TAAATGCCTCCTGGAGGCTATAAATAAATCTGTGTATGCCAGGTTTTTCCATTCACAAGTAGGTTTTTGTTGGAATCAGTGTTGATAGATTCAAGTATAAAAGGAGTTCTAAGAATTGTTCAATAAAGGTATATTTACATTTTTGATGTTGTTTTATGTTACAAAACTGTACTTACAGTGTAATGTCACCTCTTTGTTCTTAGAGTTCGCTCGCGTCAACATGAGTGTTCATAAAGCCTTGCAGATATTAAGGAACAAAGTGGATCTGCAGCATTTTTGTGGATATGTCACCATGTTGAATGCTTCGAGCCGCCTTGCGCACAGAAAACTCAGTGACGCTTCTGATGAGAGAGGTCAGCCAGTGGTTGGGTTCTCTGAATTAAGGTGGTTGTACTGAGTTTATTGCAATCTTAGTATTTTAAGAAGCAGGGACTCTTGTGGGGATGTCGAATTATGTAATACTTAGTGTTTTTTCACTAAGGTGAGAAAATATTCTGTGACATCATTTGGACTAATATCAGTTGTTCAGATGGAGAAAATACAGAAGTACTGACCCTGGGGTTAGAGTACGGAGTGGTTTTTAGGTTTTACCCCTTTCTTTACTGTTGGCTCTGTGGTAATAGGCTTTAAATTAAGTTCCTCTGTGAAGTGATGGCTTCAGAACTTGAGTCTCTTTGTAAAGAGGTTTCCAAAGTAGAATTAACAGGTTTTTTTTTTTTTTCCCATTCAGCCTTTCTTTTTCTGTCAAAGGCACCACTGTCTCAATGACCCAGGCCTAAAATCTTGTCTTTGCCTCTTCCTTCTTTTTTCACGCTGTCCACTTTGTTTCCACGGTCTGGGGAATTAGTCTTTAGAAGTGTCTCTCATATCCTTTCTTCTCTTCTCATTTCTTTTGAAATTCTCTGTAACTGTCCTTCTAACCTGCGTCTCAATACTGTAATCCTGAATCACTGCAGCCATTTCCTGCCTAGCCTTCCTGGCCTCATTCTCCTCTGTCTCCAGCCCATCTTGCATATTGACAACAGTTAGTTTTCCTTTACTTTCTTAATTAAAGAATTTATTTGCATGTCACCTTCTCATGCTCACTGATTGTTTCCACTCTGGCCTAGTTTTGGCTTGTATGTGGCTTTGGTGGCCATAGTGCCAGCTCTGGTCCATGACTCTAGAAAACCTTTCAATTCAAACGTCTGTCGTTGATTGACTATATTCCCTGAGCCTCTTAGTGTGCAATCCTGAGTAGATATGATTGATGTGCTAGCCATCCAGTGGATCGGATTGGCTCCCTCTGAGTTAAATATCCACCCCAAATATCCTTTACCTTTGGCCAGAAGATGTGAGTAAATTTTAACAGTTGACTGCCATGTATCACAGGGGCATTTCCATGTTTTATTTTTTCATTCCACCAGCATTTATGGAGTACCTGCTGAGGTGCTAGAAAGATAAGACCTAAGGAATGAAACCCTAGAAAGGGAGACAAGCAAGTGAGTCAGCCTGCCGCAGAGTGTTAAAATCTGTGCCAAAGCTTGGCATCAGCTCCATGTGCTGATGTAGGGCCGAGAAGGCATATCTCAGGCCAACTGAGCTATCAGAAAAGGCCTCTTAGAGCAGGTAAAGCTTGAAGTAAGTCTTGAAAAGTGAGGATTTGGGTACGTAAAAGATGGTTGCTGTGTATTTGAAGGGTAGCAGCCTTTCAGGCAGAGGGAATCCAGCAGTAGAGTAAGCTCATCTTGGCAAAAAGGAAGAATTTGTTGGAAAGTAGTAGAAAATGAGAGTAAAGAAGTTGGTAAGATCAGGAGATCTTGGAGGATCTTCAGTGCTGGAAGATACGAAGAGTCAAAGAATTTTGAAGAGGAATAACATAATCAGATTGCATATTTCCATGGGGATAGAAGCGACTTTGGTAAAGATCTAAGTGAAAGTCTAATAAACTTATGTTCTGCCTTTTGAGTCCTTGTTTCCTTTGGCCAGGGTTTTACAACCTCAGCGCCATTTATATTTTGAGCGGGATAATTGTTTGTTTTGGAGGACTGTCCTGTGCATTGTAGGATGTTTAGCATCCCTAGATATCAGTAGCATCCCTGTCCCCATTCACGAAAACCGCATAGGTCTCCAGACATCGTCAGAGGTCTCTTGGGGGACAAAATTGCCCCCTCCTTGGGAACTGCTTTAGGCTGAAGACTGTTCATTATTCTCCATTGTCATTCCTGTTGCTGGAGTCTTCTCTTCCGTTAGAACCGATTTACTGACGACTTGTGCCGACTACTAAACCCTAACATTGTGTATGTCCTTTAATTACAAGGAGACCCTGATTTGGCTTCTGGCTCAGATGTAAATGGGAGCACAGAGTCATTTGAAATGGTCATTGAGGAAGCAACTCTAGACTCGGCAACAAAACACAACTCTGGTAAGGCTTTAAGAATTAATTTGTAGCTTTAGACTAGTTTCTGATGTTTAACTCTTCTGTTACATCATTTGGATGGCATCTGTCTGCTCTATTTATCCACAGTGGGCCTTTTAGTAAGCATTTACCAGGAAACATTTTTTTATGTTTAGAGTAACAAAGTATTATATAAACATGATCTGAGAATGACTTCAGTTGCGTTTTTCCTATGTTAAATTCTTTCATCCTGTAGTTGTCTTATGATATCTTTTTTGGGGGGAAAAGACCATTTTGAACATCTGATGAAAGCTTTGTACCTTCTCCCCAGAAGCACGTACATACTCAAGAAAGATTCTTTCCTGTTTCAGAGATTCACTGACCTCTCTGAATCCTCTCCCCTGTTAAGCCCATTGCTGGATACCGCGGGGGTAGGAGGAATCTGAAAATTTATGAGCCTCAGTTAAACCCTGGTCAGTCATAACATATGTGACTACCTATGTGACTAACAGCTGTGTGCCCTTTGTAGCTGCCACAACAGAAGCGGATTGGGTTCCTCTTGAGCTGTGCTTTGGAATTCCATTGTTTAGTTCTGAATTAAACCGGAAAGTTTGTAGAAAAATTGCGACACATGGCCTTTGCAGAAAAGAGAGGTGAGGGTTTATATTCATTGTCATCTTTTCATTTGTGAGACTTCTAGGCTCTCAGTTGTTACATCTTATTTTCTTTTATTTCACACATGAGCATGGTAATTACCTTGAGTATATTTGTTGATTGAATAGAGATTGCTAATTAAGGATTTTGCTATATTTTTCAAAATTAAACTTAAGCACCTCAAAAATCTGACTTATGCAAACATTTGGGACACATGTTTTGGTTAATTTTAGTTATGTTAACTTAATTACCAGGTCTGGCGAGGTATATGAGATGATAAACCTAGTGTTTGTAATATGTATGTGTCTAGAACATTTCCCTTGTGCACTTCTGTCACTCTTAGCAAACACACGTTCAAATTATGTCATGTAAATAGTGGTTATCTATTATGGTGGAATTATAGCTGAATTTCTAAATTTTGTTCAGATTTCCATGTTTTCTAAAATGAGCACGTATTACTTCTCAGAGATGGTATGTAGGTTTTGTTTCCCATGCCTACTCTGATCTGTTGGGAGCAGTTGCTAAGAGGCAGTGTTGTGAAAGTTCTGTGACTTTGGAGCATATGGGAATATTCCTCAATCTCATTGTCTTGGTAGGGTGGCTGAGAGAGAGAGCTGATGTCCACAGGTCTCCTTGACTTCTTTTAGAAAACAAAGTTGTAGAAGTAATTCATTTAATTGGCTTAATATAGTTTATCAGAAGATTAAAAGTGCTCAGTCAACAAATAATTTCAGCAGTTCTCTGAAAGTAACATACATGAGTAAAAAAGTAGAAACACTAATAACAGCTTTAAAGATGGCCACCATGATTGTTACCAGTTTACATATTTGAAAAATACTTGATTTAGGTGGGTTGATGTGTATTAAATCTGTCAGGCTTTTTATCAGGATGTATTTTAAAATTACATTGGGTATTTGAAGTTTGTATCATAATTGTCATTCCTGCCTGAATTTTCCTTTTAAAAATTTTCTTTCATTTAACATTTATATTTGCTAATAGTTTAAACTCTTCCTCACAATAACTTCTCAGTTTTCATTTTATACATGGTTTTTTATTTCAGAATGGTCCTTTTATGCACTGTTAAACTCCCTACTCTTAAAACTGGCAGAAATTTCATGGATGAGAACTACTGAAAAATGTTTTAATTTTTTATGTGATTAATCAGAATGTATTTACACATATAAATGCATTTAAATTGCTGAAATTATTGTGAGATATTAGTTCTTGCCATTAAAATTATATTTGTCTTAAAATTTCCCTTTTTTTCAGCCTTCAGAACCTCTTACATTCCAGTAGAAAACTCTCTCTACAAGTCCTTAACTTTGTTCACTCATTCCAGGTAACAAAACCCAAAAAATCCAAATGGTATTTGCATAGAGCTTTATAGGATGCAGAGCAGTTCCATGTCATGCTCAAGTGCAAAGAGTGCAAAGTGATGTTATTTAAAGACTTTTAACTGATGGGGCGTGCGAGCGGGGGAGGGGCAGAAGAGGGTGGGGGGTGGACAGAGGATCCAAAGCAGGCTCTGTGCTGACAGCAGCAGCTGGATGCGGGGCTTGAACTCATGAACTGTGAGATCATGACCTGAGCCGAAGTCAGATGCTCAACCAACTGGGCCACCCAGGCGCCCCAGTTGTTAAAGACTTTTAAATAGGAATGACATTATTTCTGATTGCCTGTTTTAAAAAATTAGTTACTGTTCAGAAAGCAGATGAAAAAGGGACAAGCATAAAAGCAAGACTAGTTCAGAGAATGTTATAATAGCCCAGGTGAGAATTTTTGGTAGCTGAGCTCCCCTTTTCATTAAAAATAGCCCCAAAGTTTGCATGTATCCATAATAAAGGTTGATTGCACATATATACTGTTATATCAACAAATGATATTATAAAACATACACAAAAATAGAAATTTTGTAAGGATGTAATAGTCGATAGAGCATTTGTAAGATTTTTACAGTCCCGTGCCCTGCTTTGGAGTGAGTACCCCACTTTGGAAACCACTGGCCCAGACTGGGTGGCGGGCTCTGTTGACTGTATCAAGCAGTTTGGGATACACGTTGGATGTAGACGGATTGACCTGATTAACTCAATGTGAGGAAAAGATTGAGGGTGTGGTGAGGAAGGGAAGACTCAAGAATGAGTCTCCTGTTCCTGGACTAGCTTCGTGTGTGGAGTAGGGAAGGCTGGCGAGGAATTGGAGAATTAAGGTCATGGACATGGTAAGTGTGGAACGTGTGGCGAAACATCCAGGAGCAGATGTCAGCTCGGTGCATGTTTGAGCCTGGAGTCCTGGGGAGAGGTCTGTGCTAAGTGTTACGGGAGTCTGAGAGCCTTGGGAGCATGGAGTGTTCTGGGTGCTTAATGTCACGTGAGGGGTTTTTAGAGATTGTTGAAGAATTAACTTTTTTCTTGTCCTCTGGCCTCCTAGCCTATTTTTGTTTATTTCTAAGCGCTTATCGTGGTGTGACTTGTGTCAGTCATTACCGCGTACAGTAATTCCCCTGATTGATTATTGGGGATTGTGACGTAGATCTTGGCATCTCCCACAGTGCTTTGCATCCCAGAAACATTTCTTGGGCAAAGTCTGTATTTGTAACTAGCTATGTTCAGTGGTTTGGTAAAGTGTCGAATATGGGATTTTTTCTCTTCCTTGGTCTTCTAGGAAGGTGCTTCCACACTGGATGTTCACACAGAGGCCAGCTTTTCCAGTGTGCCTTCACAGTCCTCCTGTGCCGACACGGGAGTTCCGCTTCCTGCAAAGAACTTAATATTTAAAGATGGTGTCTTATCAGAGTGGAGTGGACGGTCACCTTCCTCACTTCTTGTTGCTAATCTCCATTTGCAATAATTTCGTTCCACCATGCATTGCTCACACTTTCTGCCTTTTTTTTTTCTTAACGTAGCTTTATAGTGCCCGCCACTAAGAAGCACCCTGCTGCTACAGTGCACTTCATGCTTAACTGATGTGAAGAGATTGGGGAACATGTTCATGTTTTCTAAAGTTTTCCTCATTATTGCACCTCCTAATGCAACAAAGAGCTTTTTAGCAGCCTGCACTGTATTTTTTACCTTGAGACAATCTGCATTTCTTTTATAAAACTGAGGATATACTTTATAGGCTTTATGATGACTGTTACGTTTATAAGCAGTCACTATGAATATTGCAGTGGTAATTTTATATGTTAGTTTATCAAACATAAATCTTGTTTAATTTTATATTTTGTTACCTACTCTTTAGGGGATCACAGGAAGAGGTGGAACTCTTCCCCTGAAAAGGCTTCTTGGTACTTAAAAGTAGCAAAACTATAAAACAATAAACATCCAGTTTTGAGAGATGATATGATGGGGCATTAAGAATTTCTGTGGATGTCTGTAAATTATGTATATGAGTTGAACATTGTTGAAGGTATGTAAATCAGCATAGTTATGTATAACTTAACCTTGATTTATAAGGTCTTAACTCAGACTCTGACTATACATTGACATCTCATGAGAAGCTTTGGAAAACATTCTATTTTTAAACAACATTTATATGTGGACTTCTGTCGTCACTCACCTTGGGCTTTATATTTTCATAGAGTCTTTATGGAAAAATAGAATTTGTTTTCCACTGTCGTAACTGTGGCTGCTGCACGTTTTTACCCTCATTTATTTTTTGTTTAGTAGCTTTACCAATGAATTGTTATGAAATCGAATTTGGTGTTTAAAAACCAAGGATTGTGATTTTAGGTTAGAATTACATATTTAGAGGCATTAAGGCTATATGTCTTCTGATCAAAACACTTGGTGATAAACCTACTTTGAAGACATTCTTAGGCAATCTGGACCTTAAATTTATGTGAATAGTTTTGGAGGGACTGATAAAGAAAAATTGAGCAATTTCAAAATGTTTCTCGAATCATTAATTCTTTTAGATCTCAAATGTTAATTAGAATAATTGGAATCACTTTCTAGATTTTTTAAGTTACCTTCCTTGGGAAGTTTGTGCAGTGTTCTAGTTTAGTGTAGCTCTTCTTATAGGATAACGGTTTGCTTGTTTAAAACTGTAACCAAACTAACTGGTCAAACAACATATATCTAAAAACACTTAAAGCATTAGAAAATTTGGGAATGTTATAACCTAAACATTTTTGCTGATAATTTTTTGTCATTTATAGAACTGATATTTGTGTATTTAACATACTTCTGGAAATATATGCCTTTCTTAAAACTGTTAACATAACCATGCATTCAATACCATGGCCTACCTATAGAATCGAATATCTTGGAGCAGGTTACCTGTGGCACACGGTCAGTGCTGTGTTTGGGGTAAGTGCAGTAATGTTTAGTTTTCTACTTTGTCTTATATGAGGTAGAAATCAAGTGTATGTTATAAATGTTTGTCTATAAAAGGAAAAATACGTACTAATATTAAAATAATTTCTTATGACTGTGAATCACTCATTTATTTTTCCAATAATTGATATTGTACATTCCTAGTGCTATTAGGTATGTATGTAACTTACAGTTTTTCAACTGAAAGTTGTAAGTATTTCATTTGATCAGGGCTCTTTAATCTCATTTTCATTTGCTTTGTTTATATTAACTGTAGTTATTTTATTTATTCCTGTATTAACAATCTAAGCCTACTGTAATGACATGTACACTAATAAAGAATCGAATAATTTGTAGTTGTTGGCAGTGAACCCAGTTGGTGGTTAATTGAAAACTTAAAATATGGGAGTGATTTGCTGCTATATTACCTTTGAGAGAATAGAGGAAGAAATAGAACCTAACAGTGATCATGAATTTTAGGGAAAATACTGGAAAACATGTGGACACCTCTGATTTCTCCGGTGAATGGAGAAAGTTCTGATTCCCAGCTGGAAACCTCTCATATGTTTAAGGAGGGAGAATCTGCTTTGTAGAGCTGTTAGTAAAATGTGAAAGCTGCTTTTGTGCTTTGCTTTATGAACTTGGCTTTGTTTCATTCATATGTTAACTCACGTAAAGATGTATCTCCTAAATCTTACAAGTTTTGATCCAGTTCAGCAACATGTTAAATTTTAAATACAGACTTTATTATTTGCCAAAGAAGACTTAAGAAAGAATTCTAAAGTAATTTCATTTGGCTTTGTGCTACCTCCCCATTCGATTCCCCCCTTAATGTAGCTTAAACCATGGGAAACGTTCTTTAGAAACCAAGAGAAAACAAAGTCACAGAGGACATAGAATTTAGCATGGTCCAGATTAACCTCTCAGGTGGGTCTAAAGAAATACAACTTTATGTCATTTACAAACATACCAGGTTTTCTTGATTCCTTTCTTTCTTTCATTTTAAGTATGTAATCAGATGATTTTGTATTTGTTTTTTGGGGGGGAATATCACTTTTCTTTTACTTGATGTATTCAATATTCTCTGCCATTCATGTTTCTATTTTATGTTCAGTGTTTCAAATACAGTTTGTATTTAAAGATCTTAAAGTACCAAAACTGTAAGTGAGTACAGTGGACTGTTTTCTGGTATGATGTTAATATTATACAACAAAATGTATAAAGTGTTGTCAATTTGATTATTGACACCTTATAATATGTTTACAATAAACTGTGGTGTTGATCAAATTACTGTGGACATGTGTATATAATCTAAGTCCCTTTCTCAGTATTAAATACAGCACCTCAGTACTAAATGCTTTCAGTGCTGTGGCTTTCCTACATGTTTTTTTAATGACCTTTTTACTTTAGAATAATTTCAGATTTATAGGAAAGTTGCAGACAGTCCAGAGATGTTTCTTCTACCCTTCCCCACGCTTCCCTTAAAGTTAACACCTTGTGTAAACTATGGCATTTATTTGTCAAAATTCAGAAATTAACCTTGGGACAGTTCTGTTAACTGTGTCTACTACGGACTTTATTTGGTTTCTGTTTGCCACTAATGTCTTTCTCCTGTTCTAGGAGCAGTCCAGGACACCACACTGCATTCATTTATTTAGTCGTTAATGCCTCCTTTGTCTCTTCCAGTCTGTGACAGTTAGTCTTTCAAGACCTTGACACTGTGAACGGTACTGATGGGTTATTTTGTACAATGATCCTTAACGTGGGTTTGTTGGACGTTTTCTTGTGAGTAGATTTGAGGTTATGCTTTATCAGGAAGGAGAGCACAGAGTTGATGTGCCCTTCTACACTGTATAATATCAAGTACATGATGTTAGTAGGTATTACCGGTGATATTCCTTCATTGGCTAGGTTGGTGCCCACTAGGTCTTTCCACTGTATTTTTTCACTTTCCGTACTTTTTTTTTCTTTGGAAGTGAATTACTAAATCTAGTCCACAGTCAAGAGGAGGGGACAGTATATATATTATTTAGCATTTTTCTTAAAGAAAATTTGTTCCTGTTTCCTATTCACTTGATACTTTGTATTGTGTGATTGTGGCAGTTTATTTTCTACTTTAGGTTAAAATCTAATACCGTTGTAATTTACTGGGTGAATTATTTCAGCTTTGGGACTCTTTGAGGTTGGCTCCTAAATTCTTTTGACATGCCCTTATTTTTCTAAGACCATATTTTTACCTTTTAGCACTGCCAAGTATTATCTGAGTGCCATTCCTAGAATTAGCTATTTCTCCAAGAAGCCCTCATTTCTTTCATTGGAGAACAGTATTTTTTTTTTTTTTAATGTTTATTTATCTTCGAGAGAGAGACAGAGTGCGAGCTGAGGAGGAGCAGAGAGAGAGAGAGAGAAAGACATAGAATCAGAAGCAGGCTCCAGTCTCTGAGCTGTCAGCACAGACCCCGACACAGGGCTCGAGCCGACAAACTGTGAGATTTTGAACTGAGCTGAAGTCGGTCGCTTAACCAACTGAGCCACCCAGGCATCTCTAGAGAATGGTATTTAGAAACAAAGATCTGGATGTTGGATGTGCTCACTGCTACTGCTGCTGTGGTTTTTCAGTGAAATGTGCTAAGAGATGACAAATATGCATACTAACCAATGTATAGTACACGTCTCTGTAATTATTTCTAGATCTGTCTGTATATATATTAAACATTCAATTATACTGACTCAGCCAGCACTACAAGGTTTTGCCTCCATGTTTATTTGTAACTTTTTTTCCTGAGAGTGAGAACCCTGACTTCTTTATCTACAATTTATTTGCTTGTTGAACCTTAGAATACTTAAAAAGTGGTTTCAGAATAGTTGTACCCCTGTGAGAAAAATGGACCAACAAATGGAATTCGGTGTTCAAGTCCTTGTCTTGTCCTTAGCTTTACAGTATCTGCTCAAAGTACCACTTTCCATAGTAACTTAGTTCAGCTCCCTTTATTTCCCACTTTCTTCGTTGAGGTTATGTCATATGTTCGTGAAACAGATTACTTGTCACAGTGCGCACCCCACTTGAGGTCTCTTGACATCCCTATTGGGTTTTTCACACCATAAAGTCCACTCTGCATGAGCTTTGACAAGTTTGTGATTATGTACCCACCATCTCCGTACTACCCAGAGCAGTCCCATCACCCTAAAAATTCCTCTTTGTACTCAGCCCCCACCCCACCCCTCACAACCACTTATCTGTTTTCCATTCCTATAATTTTGCTTTTCCTGGAATGTCAAGTAAATAGGTTGTGCAATTCATAGCTTTTTTAATCTGGCCTCTTGTAAGAGCAATGCAGAATGCATTTTAAATTCATGGTGTCGTGTTAATAAGTAGCTCGTCCCTTCTGTTGCTGAGAACTTTGCTGGGTGGATGAATCAAGATGTGTTTATCATTTAACGGTCATGTGCAGGTTCTTCATAATAAACATAATTTGGTCTGCCGGGAGTCGGTTTGTTAACTAACTCATTTGGTAAGTGTACATTTAATCTTAT